TTGGTTGAATAGGATGTTATCACCTCCTACTGTCCATGCATAAACCTGTTCTTGGTATGTATCAGTGTTAATCTGCTGATTATTAACCATTAATGTAAATAGACCGAGATTTCACCTTCTTAATTTGCTGTTGATGTATTACCTTTTATTCTTTAAAGATTAAAATATTAAGCACTGGGTTTATATCAAGTAGTATTATGATTCCCTTTTTACTATGTTTATGTTTTGTTAGCATGAAGAAGGGCAAATTTTGTAGCTAATCTGTTCAAGAAGCCACATTGGAAGGAATGAATACATTACACTTTCCCTCATTAGACCTAATCAGAATTCCAGCAGTATCACCTTTGTTTGTGCAGAGAACAAAAATGTGAATCCAATGCATTAAATTTGCATCTTTGTTTTCAGGAAAGATATTGCAAATGTGACCTATATTCCACAGGAGGCAACGTGCTCAGGTACAAAGTACTACCCCATTTTCTCTCCCAATTACCTTGCCTTTCACAGCCCTTCAGGAGAGGATGGTTTGCTAAGCCAATGGGAAACCATCATCCTCGTGCTCCTTAAGTGGTTCATTAAAGAGTTGCATTTCTGAACCAGTAAAAATTCAACTACAATGAAATGGGTAGATAACAATTTCCATCCCAGCAGGCATATTTTAGGTTGTGGATAGTCACTCCTGGATTATCGTCTTTTTTGGGTAGTTGCAATATGAGGCACCACGAGGTCAACAGAGATGCATGTGTTGGGCAGCTCTGTACTCCAGCTTGACTGTCTGATGGTTCTTCAGCTGCTCTTTCCCTCCTTTCCCAAGACACTATCTTTGTTAAACTATTCCCGAGGAGGTGAGTGAAGCCCTCCTACTGCTAAACCTGGTCAGCAGGTTCACTCCAATTAAAGTTTGGTTGAAAGTAACATTCCTCTAAATTGAAAGCAATTTACGCAAAATTTGAGGATACCTGTCAAAAGTTTTCGTAAGCAGATTCAGTCACAGTTTGCACCCATGTCTTTCAAGGACTGTGGGAATAATTTTCACTAAGGAAGAGGAGGCACTTTTCATGTCTGCAGTGAAGACCCAGGCCAGGAAAATCTCACCTCCATTGTATCTTGCTCCCTGTTTGTGAAGGAGAAACTCACTTTTGAGGTCCACCAGGATAACTTGATTGCTTTTGTCCACTGGCAGTGTGCAAAACTGTTTGGCCTAAGTGCTGGACTGGGCTCAAGAGATCTGTGGAGAGGAGTAAGGTCAGAATGTGTGCATGGGGGTCAGGCAGTAGCAGTACAGTGGCAGCTGGAAGGTAGTGGGTACAAGTCCTCTGCATGTCTGCAGCTCCATTCACTTCTCTCCCTGCTAGCCTGCAGTAAAATGAGGGGTTTGCAGACATCTCTGCAAGAATCACAGAATGGCTTGGTTTGGAAGGGACCTTAAAGATTATCTTGCCCCAACCCTCCTGCTGTGGTCAGGGATGCCTTCCACTAAACCACATTGCTCCAAGCCCCATCAAACCTGGCCTTGAATAATGACAGGGATGAGGCATCCACAGCTTCTCTGGGCAACCCGTTCCAGTACCTCATCACCCACACAATGAAAAATTTCTTCCTAAAATCTAATCTTAACCTACCCACTTTCAGCTTAAAGCCATTACCCCTTGTCCTATTTTACAAGATGTCCTTGTAAGAAGTCCCTCTGCAAGAAAATCAGTCTGGAGCTTATCTTTCTCCAGCCTCTCAGTCAGAGCATGTCCATCTTCCATTCAACACAATGCTGTTAAGATTGTCCCCAGCTTTAATCTCCTCTTATTGTTTTAGATGTCTGACAACACTCACTTGTGCTGTTTGGAGTGTTGACTGAAGAGGCCATGGAGGTTTGTCATTCTCTCAGAACCATGCCTTAAAAAGTTAAGCTTAAAAGTTGCCTGCTCTTCAGAAATGAAATCAAGACTGAAAAAAAACTCATAAATCAACAATCCTACCTCTAAATTAAGGCTTCATCTGAAACATTTCAAATGGACATTTTCCTAATATTCCTTTCTTTGGAAACATTAATGGAGATGGCAAAATCTCCCTCACCAGTCTACTCTAACATTTAATTGTAACATTAGAAAAGCCTTTAAATTGCCTCTTCTTAAAAAACACCCTTGTTGTTTAGACATTGCCCTCTTCACTGGAAGATCCCTCAAATCTTCTCAATTTTCCCAAATCTTCTCAAATCTGAAATAATTTCATGAAGGAATAGACAGAGTCACAGTTGAAAATATGTTTGTAATCTACATCTCTCTCTTCCTGGAAATATGAAACTCTGTTTTCATACTTAAATAGTAATTTTCTTGCTGTTACATTTGTAGTCATGTTTCCAAGTTAAAAATCCTCATATTTTAATGGTTTTATTAAGAATTTGCAACATATAATTTTTAAAATATAATATTTGAACCCATCCCTGGACTTTCTTATGCCTGTGCATATATGTGAATACTCATTTGCTTTAAGGCTTAAAATGAAAAGAAAAGTCTTTTTAAAGCTTCTTTTTCTTGTCACAAAATATAACAGACCACCTTACGCTGTATATATTTTTTGTTCATTTTTGAGCTGAAGTTCATTTGGCTAAGCGGTGGAGTCCATTGCATCCACATTTCCAATAAGAAGCAAGTATTCCCACTTTCAGAGATACTTCCCCAAAGTAAAACACCTCAACAGGCAGCTGGGACCACTCTCCAGTTAACCTGACTACATACTGGTCATCTTCTCCATTCTACAATCTTCCTGAGTAGATAGGTAGAGATTCTGTTCTTGATTTTGAAAGAAACCCATGAAGTTTCAAGGAAGCATACAAAACTTACTTTATCACCTAGTCTGCAGTTAAGCTGGACTGAGTATATAGAAAGACTAAGCTTTTTTGACAGTGAACATACCAGTTTTAGATGTCCTAGGCTGCAGGCTTCTAATTCTTCCCTTGAGAAACTATACTTTACTATAAAAGATTGCTTTCATGCTCTTAAAATATGGCCTTGTCTTAGTTTCATCATCATCATCCATTTAGCATGTGAAAAAGCAGTTTAATACCTCACATTCATAGATGTAAGTACGAGCTTTTCTCCAGGCATGATGAGGTTGCAACTCTGAACCAGTTTCTGGTCATCCGGTCAATAAATCAAAGGAAGCACACTACAAACATGTCTTAGTCTCTTCCAGATGTGATGTTGAGCTTTAAAAATAATATGTCTAAAACATATTTTTCCATTCAATTATCTAACATATTTAGATGACTCCTAAAACAAGGCAGCCAATAAAACTCAATTAAATTAAACAAAACAGGGGAAAAACTGCAAACATGTATTATAGCTGTGAATTCTCTGTAGAGATAGAAGGAATATAATTTCTCCATCACATGCCAGTGGAATGCTACCAAACATTTTTTTCCCATATAACACATTTTAAGTTTTGAGCTTTTAGAAAAAATCCATCCCAAAGTATGAAAGAATTCGAAGACTAATTCCATTCCCCTTATCACAATATAACATTTCCATTTATACAGTTTACCCCATAGTGCCACATTTAGGTGTTCATCACCACAAAAGCTGACACATGAAAAGTAAGGAGAGTGTCAGATCCAACACACAGACTGTTCTAATACCTTTCCTCCCAGTTTATGGGAATTATGTGATGATTCTCAGTTCAGTGGGAAACACAAGAAGGTAGCAGAGACAAGTGAAGCCACATTCAGCTTTCACACTCAGTATGGAAAAAGTAGGGGCTCTGGGGAAAGACAATCCTCTTTTGAGAGGCATGTACTGGAGAAAACAGAACTGGAATGGAGGACCAGTGGAGGATCCAAAATGGAAGCTAGCAGGCAGGCCGATTGGAGAGTAGTAGTTTATGGGGGAAAACCTCTTAATTAACAGAGGATGGAAAACTGTTTATGCCAGCTGAACATACACACCCAGTTGCCTTGTGATCAATAAAATCGATATTTCCCAATCTGGGAAGCAAGAGAGACAAGATGAGATGCAGAAAAGAGGGGTATGGGCAGAGAAAGAGCCCCAAGAACAGTGAACATAACCGTGCTTATGGCATATGAAAGTGTAATTGGAAAGAAAAAAGATGCAAAAGGTGCTGTATCGAAAAGCAACAGGCAACAGTATTGGAAAACACTACTTCTGCCATTTTTCCTGTATAATTGTTAATTGATCTGTGATAATAATAAAGGAAAGTAGATTAAGAAAGTGCCTTCCCAGTTAAAAAAGACAAAACAGAAAGACAAAAATATAAAGCATTTAAAAGATGAACAAGATACAATGGTAAATGCCTGAGAAGCTAGAAACGGAATAAATTCAGTAAGTTCAGAAAAATATTTAAATATTCTGAGATTTACCAAAACCAAAATTCAATCCCAATTCCCTTCTTCTTGTAGAAAATACAAAAATTAAACAGTAGCAAGGAACTGACAAACATAGGTATCAAGCCTCACTTAATTATTTCCAGAAAATATTTGAAAATATTTTCTGGACTAGAAAAATATTTTCTAGACTGTTTTTAAGTTTGATTCAAGACAATTTACCATTTCTGTCTTTAACCACGTCTTTATGAGTCATAACCATGAGACAAAATCATTCCTTTGATGCATTTGCCCCAGTAGAAACATTGATTAAACAATAAGGAAAACTTGGAGGGAACAAAGAAAATGAAAACAAAATTCCTTTATGAATTTCAAACACCACCCAATTCCATAAACTGAAAACATATTTTCTGTCTTCTCAATCATCTCTATCCCCCCATGCAGCAAAAGAAAAAAAAGATATTGTCTTTAAACTTCAAAAGATTTCTCCCTTCTCTTATCCTCAGAAACATTTTTCAGGTCATCAAAGAGTATTTAGCACTCAATGATTTCTCAATGAAAAAGTCAATTCTTTGTAAAGGAACCCTTGTTTCCTATCAGTTTGCTTACCTAGGTGAAAGAATAAACCAAGGAAAATCAGAAATTACACAATAAAAAATACTGCGCAGACTCCAAAAGGCATGTACCTACCGTATTTATTATATGTGAATGGTGTACATTGTATTCAAAGGAAAATAAATGGTGAGAATTATTTTTTGTTTTCCTATTTTCCTCATCACAATTTCTAATTACATTCTATTTCAATTTCTACAAAAAATATTATTACTATTTCTAGTTCAAAATCTATTACTGCTTACACAGTTATACAGTTTAATATAGATCTGCGTTCATCTAATTTGGTGGTATCATCCAAGAATGGTGATTTAATCAGTTCAGTAACATATTTCAGGTGGTTAAATTCTTTAATTCTCTCTTTATTTTACACTTCTAAGAATTTATTTTGATTCTGCTATTTTTTACACAATTTCTGTGAAATTCAGAGAGACATTTAATTGAGGTCTAAGTCTAAAAGATGCAATTTATTAAAAGCATTCCAATGTTTCCTGCAATTTCACTTAGCATAGTCCTGTTATCAACAAGTCTTATTAACTTAAACATTATTGACTTCCTTAACCCTCAAATATAAGTTTATTTTAACTGTATGTGTACTGAAAATCAGCCCTTGAAATCTTCAAGTTAATATCACAACATCAGTAGACATATTTCCAACTAATTCACATTTCCAGCAGTAGTACATAAACGTATCTTAACTATGCAAATGAATTTTGTTCTTTTCATGTACAACACACTAAGAAATGGAGACACTGGTGTCTGCAATTTCCTTCCATAAAATCAACATTTTATTGCCAAAGACTTTGTTGTTTGTTGATACAATTTCAAGTGACCTTTGGATAGTTCTGTTTCTGTGCTTCTGGACAGGCTTCAAGGCAAAAATCAAATTTAAAAAAAGATTAGTGTTTCCAGTGTGCACACATGTATTCTTGAGCGTAGATTCACGTGTGTCAAAAATCCTTCAATTCTCCTAGTGTAAAGGTGTGCAGGATCTGATTCTCCTACATGACATTTTGGAATATTTAATATTTTTTTCTCATTTTATCTTGGGTCATAAGCCAGATTCTCCAAGTGTTTCATATGAAAAGCAAGTTCTGCAGCATAATATAAAAAGCTTTTAATGAGGGCACTTCCCAGGACTGTGGCAGACCTACATACCACTCTACATTATGGTTTTTGTGCAACATTCCAGCAACTGTTCCACATTACTTGGCTACTAGTTCTTCTTGTTTATGTCTCCATCCATCTCTTATATTGCAGAAAAAAAAATTATTAGGCATTATTTCAATCTAAATTTTAGGTCTTCTCTCTGGATATTGAAGACTGATGTTCTAATCTATGCTTTAAATCAAGTAAAGGCAGGACTTGTACTTGAGGTTGCACCTTCTGTCACACAGTCATTCTTTGTTCTTCCACCTTCCTGAAACCAATAAGTGGGAGATTTTGATTCATATTTGTATTTAAATGCATAAGTAACATATGAATAAGTAAAACATATACACGCATATGTTCCAGTTCAAAACTCAAAAACATTCAAAACTGGAACATTCCATTAAAAACTAAATATTTAAGAGTTCTGAAAAATCTAAAAAAACTGGAAACCCTGTATTTCATTTAAGTGGAAATACCACTAATCACAACTCAGGCAAAATTATAGCTCTACAGGAGAGTGGCAGGTAGTGAATATCTACTGTGGACAAGTGAGAAAACAACCTTTAGGAGGAATAAAGACTGTTCAAGGAAAAAAATCAGAAGCATCAAACTCACAGGAGGTTTAATAAAATCTCAGCATTGTCAAATGGCCAGAAGGAATTCCAGCAAGGTAGGTTAAAGCTTCTTCTCAGATTATTGAAGCCATCTTGTACTAAAAAAAGTATAATCTCTCAAGCAGTTACTGATTTTTATCCCTTTAGACTCCTCCTTAAAAACCTATCTTTTTCTTCTATCCCTACAAATCATCACCCTCTGGGAGTGGTTATTCTAGTGGCCACCTGTAAATATATAGGCCACAGTGAATAATCTAAGTGTGCACCTGTAGTTACTGCTCCTGCGTCTTTCTCCTCTTCACAGCCTTTGCTTCAGGTTCAGTGAAGTCCCAGATTATGAAGAGGGTGGGAGGTGGATGTCTCTGTAATTTTCTGCCTCTGCAATAGAATAAAGCACCAACGCTTTTGTGGAGTTCTAGGTATTATCTGAATGTGCTTGCAATGTGCAGTATCCAGTTTGGCAGACATCAATATCTTGGCATATCTGCGGTGAAAACAAAGAGAAAATATATTGGTCTGTACAATCAGGCATGCATGTGCATTCCTGGGAAACAGAAGAGACATGCAGGAAAGAGTCATCGTCACTATCCCAACTTCTGCTGGGCTTGGAGGGGTGGTTAGAGCACTCCAGTGTTCCCCATGTGCATTTCTCCTTCAAAAGAGAAAAACTATTTTGTTCATTATTGTGAAGCACCGCACTCTTAGGTTTTCCCTCCTACTTATTTCAGATCTCTCTGACTACTAAATTCACTTCACCTATTCTCACCTTTATATTTAGATACATATTTTTACACCTGATACTCATTTTCATACACTATTTTGAGGCTCCCTAGTAACATAAACTTCTGAATTCTCATTCACGTTTAGGTGTAAATATCTGCTACAAGTTCCTCAAGTCCATTCTGCTGAAGACTTTTGGCTCACAGTCTCTCAACAATGTTCCTCCACACTTTTTAAGAGTGCCTTTGTTGTTAAAAATCCAATCTCTTTTGAAGTTTACATTCTCACCTCCTCCTCTATCAGTTTACGTTTCTGTTACAGGCATATCACAAACTGCTGGCTACTATGGTAAATGCAGATGATGGCTTGCCTGTAAATTAGATTTGTGTGTGTAAAACTGATGCATGTTTACATGCTGGAATGATGCCAAATGCTAGCTCAGATGAAACAAAATATTTATGAATTGGATAAACTGGAAACTTACATCTTCATAAGGTGTTCAGAGTGGATTCAGGTATAATTTCCCTTGCTCTGCCCCATTCTTCCTAAGGACTATTAGAAATACTGTATTTTTAAAAGACACGGCTCTTTAATTTATACTTAGTAATGTTAAAGCAAAACTTTAAAACAATCCTTTATGAAACAAGTGATCTTAACTATTGTAATTCACATGAATTTAATTACATTGATTTTAAAAAGTAATTTAAATATTGCTTTAAGAGAAGTTGGTTTTTTGCTACCATAATAAAATAACTTGTTTTATACAAGATACAGAAGAATATAATTTGATCATTTCTTCTGTTAGCCTTTGTTACATAGATTTTTACATAATCATTACTCATAATGTTCTGACAGATAATGCTATTACTAGCATTACAATCTTTGCTATTATTATAAAAAATCTGGCTTTGTAAAAATTTTAATTTATTAAAATGTAATGAAAGCACATCTAACATGAACCATAATTTATGAAAATTTTAGATGTGCTGCTTGACATTCATGTCATCAGGCTTCAAAAGTTTCACATCTGAAATGTGAAATTACACAGATTTATAAAGATCCCTTTTCAGCATGTTAGCTGGCACTATCTTCTGTAAAATGTATATATTTGGCTTTAAAGAGACAGGCGCATGTAATTTTAATGTCAGCACCAGCATCACCAAAAAGTGCCCTGGCAATCAGTGGAAAGGTTTAATAGGTTTCCTGTCTTGTTCTTAATTTGCTGAAATTACAAAATCAATACTTTCAGTTGTAGCTGCAGCTACCCGTTTTACTGCTTTAAGATAAAGTCTACAATAAAGTAACCTTCACTTTCAATTTGTAGCACAGAACATCAGGGTGTTCTTGGCCACTAACTAGTCTTTCTTTTCTCAGCCTGTATGAGACATTCCAGGTGTGTGATGTTGCCCTTCAAAGGGGAAAGGTGCATTTTGTATTAAGTGTAGCTCTCATCAGTGACTTGGTTTGTTTATTTTTTAACATCTCAGTCTACTCTCTCCTAAAGTCACCTCTGCGCGGATTGGTCATTATTTTCCTATTTCTCTGTGTTGATATTCTATGCTACATAAATAAGTGATTGGTGTTGAAACAGCCTAATCTTTATTTTACTCCATAGTCTCCCTCTATGACAAAGGAACATATTTTTCTGTTGCAGCTAAAAAAGGAAATTCTCCATAGTTACTCACATTTTTAATAGCGACCATGATCTCTGCATATGCAAAAAGCCTCTGAAAGGATCAGATAAACACCAATGGAAAAGTCAAGCTCTTGCACAGATTTTTTTTTCTTGCACAGAGCAAGAAGGAAAAAACAATAAATAAATACACTTCCATGGGCTTCTCTGCTATGCCTCCCAGCTCTTTAATTGTAGAAGTGAAAAAAGCATATCTTTAAACAATAATTTAGTTTTCCAATTCAGGTCCAACCTTTCCAATGAGTGTTCTACGCTCAAAAATTAAAGTTGTAAGATGACATTTTGACCCTCTTATCCATGTTTCAGAAGCAATTAAAATGTTTTTAAATTTGGGGGTTTTGTTTGTTTCTGTTTTTCTCTAGTAACTCTTTTCCTGAAATACTTTCAGCATATAAGCTCTCTTTACCACTTAGCTGAGCAATATTCTGGAGCTATTAGCACTGGAGAAGGGCCTTGCCTTGGTCCTCTTCTAGTGAGGAAATAAAAAGAATCTTAAGCTGCTGCTCACAAAAGAATGCAGCATAAGATGTCTCAGTGCTTTCCACTGATGCAAAATGTATTCATACCAAAGAAAAAGAGCTCTCAACACCTGCTACCCCAAATGTTAATGAATACACACACACATGCACACACACATGTGCACATTATGCTTCTTTCTTCTCAGCCACAGCAATTTCAAGTTGGAAATTTTACTCATAAACAGCACATGATGGAGCGAGGATACTGCAAAACAGAAAGCACAGTTGATCACAGATGGAATACAGAGCCTCCAAATGCCACAGCTCCCTTGCTTCATGCTTTAACTTTTTAACTAGCTGCTCAAGGTAAAAGCATGCTATTTATCTTGTGATGTACTCTCTCTGTAAATGAAAATTCAGAGTAGATCTAGAAACAATATTGCACCAAAGGAAACAAAAGCATTTGTCTCTAAACAAGTCAAAAGAAATGCCAAATGATTCAATGAAGATCACTTGTGTCACTTATGTTTGTTTTGATTGGTCCTCCAGTGTTTACAGCACTCAACTCAGCAGGCTCAGAACCCCAAATCTATATTTAATTTAAAGCATTGCACCATCACTCAAATCTTTCAGCAGCCTCACTACAGTCTAAAGAACAAGAGCAGAGGGACCTGTTTACGTGGAGCACTTTTACATGCTTCAAGGGATTGCAGAGAAGTTTAAAACAAATTATATCAAGATATAAAGGAAATGAAATTTTTTTTTGCAACAGTTTTCCAGTACTTGTAGGATTTTTGCCTACATTAAATTCTGTCAATTTTCAGGTGTTGTCAGCAAGAGATCATATTGCAAGACAAAATATTCCAAAAGCAGATTTAAACTGCAAAATAAGATGAATCTTAGAAAACTTACTTTTTATCAGAACTAACACAATGATCAGGAAACATAATGTATTAAATACAGCCATTGCTATGGCACTGAAAGCTTTGTAAAAATTCACGGCAGTTTAGAGAATTAAATAGAATAAAATAAATAAGCAACATGCATTTGAGGGCCCAGTCCTTTCAGACGCAAAACCCGAAGTTTTACAAAGATAAGTAGCTGAAGGGAGAAAAACACAAATGCCCATTTAAGTATATACAGGTAGTCTTAAAACATGTCTGGGAATGAGCCCTCAGCTTCTATTAACAGCAGCCAGGGTAGAATCCAGTTGCTGTTTTGCAAAGGCAGCCCTGATGCAAATGGAGAGTTACGGATGTCGTATGCACAGTGTCAGAGAGCAGGAGCCCTCCCGCTGTAACCATGGCGGTAGCATGCACCAGCACAGCATTGCTGCAGTGGTTCTCCGTCCTTGTCAGCCCGCTGGTGTCAAAGTCTCTAACTAAATTTAGGGGTCCCTCCAGGGAAAGGAAGCAGTGATAGAAGAGAGTTTAGAAAACTAGACATGTTTTATCTATGTTTGCCTATTACTATCCAAGTTTTCCCAACATGCCATGAGGTTTGCTGGGGAACCTGCTACCTTGTTTGAAAATGTAGGAGGTTTTTGAGTTCACCCTACCTTATCATCTCTCTTTGCAGTAGCTGCCAGCCCAAAACTGCTGCCCCTGTCCTTAGCTGGGCTGTTCCAGGCATGAAGTTTGATCAAATCCTGTGAGAAAAGTTGTCTGCAGATGCTACTCACTGTGAAGCACGTTTCTTCCTCAATGGCTCAGTCATTTGCAGGACCCTGGGCACAAGGACGTTCTGCTTTGCAGGCACATGCACTTACTGAGCCCGACCAGCTCTTCTCCAGCTAGGACCAGAGTGAGGCCAAATCTGCAGCACCGAGTGCCAGTTCCCTCAGACAGGAGGAGAAGGCAGAGTTTTGGGAGAGGGTATCCACAGGTTTCAGCACTAGGCAGTCTCCAGCCTTCAGGAAAATGCAGAGAGGGAAGGAGAGCAGACTGAAATTAGGTTCAACCCTGGGAAAAGGGGACAGGCTTGTTGTAATATTTTTCTTCCTCTTACCAGAAACATTTGTCCGGCATCTGTGCTTCTTTCAACCCTGTTGTGCTTCTCAGCAGACAGGGTAATTTGACCCAGAGGATTTTGGCTATCTAAGCTATGCTTAATCATTTGGCCCCATTACATCACTACAAAACAGTTCAAAATAGAGGGCTCGTTTTAATAGATTTCTTGCTTCAGTTAACAAAAATTATTCAGACTTCAGTTTTAGCTGAGCTTATTAAAGCAGGACTGTGTTTAAGTTATAGCAATTGTCAATAAAGTCCTTTATAGCAGATTGAACCCAGCATATTTTAGACCTTGCCAATTTGAGACAGTTTCCATAAAAAAAAGGAGAACAGCAATGTTACAGAGTGATAACTCAAAAAATGGAAAAAAGGAATTATTTAGCATAAAAGGAATTATTTAGCATAGTAAAAAGAGGTATAACTAGGAGTAATGGGAGGAAATTAATAAAGGGAATATATCAGTAGGAGAAAAAGAAAAACCTTACTGTGAGTTAACCAATAGAAAAATCTCCCTGGAGAGCAAAGAGTAGCCCACTGCTAGCCAATTTTAAAATAACTGGTCAAAACACTACCAAATAAATAAACAGGCTGGAAATAATTTTGCAACCATACAGACAGAAAACTAGGTTACCATTCTGTTCCCTGCTTCTAAATTTTATGAAAGTAAATTGAGGTTTCTGATTGACAAATCTAATGAAATTCAGCATTCTGGCTGCTGAGATGTAATTGCACAGCTTTTATCTTTGCCAGCATCAGAAGTTTAAAAAAAGAAAAAAAAAAAAAGGAAAAATGTTTTGTTTGTCTTTTTGTCTTTTCTGGGTTTTTTTTTCCCTTTTAATTGACATTAATTTTGTTGGTCTGAGTTAATTGAGTTACCTAGTAAAAATTTGCTCCTTGACTGACAACAAAAATTGTACTAAAAAATGCTTCATAACAAAAAGTTAAATTGCAAATTTTAAATAAAGAATTTGTAACAGTAAAACAAAGCAGAAGAGCAAAAATGCTCTTACATAGATACCTCAAAATTATAACAAAATATTATAATTTCTGAAAATTCATAATCAAAATTAACATCCTTCTGAACTACTTTTCTTGGAAGACATTATATAAAGCATTGTGTTTATTAAAGATAAGTAATTTAGGCAACACAAATGTGTTTGTGTGGTTTAATATTATTTTAAAATTCTTCAACCATACTGAAAAATAAACCAACAGTTAAGATTAATAGGAAGTTTGCAGGCATGAAACGAGCTATCCCATACTGTTCCCTTGCTTTTGGGCTTTTTTGGATAGGATAAAATTTTTGAGTTATTCAATGTTTGCCATAAAATTTAGAAAATGTGTTAATTGAATGTGTGATTGAAATTAGAAAATGTAAATCCTCTGAATCCTTCCTGTATATTTATGATTATCATATATTTTGACACAAAGATAAAATAATCAACAGATTTGGTTTTAGCATCATTACATGTGAAAACATTAGAACAATTTTTTAAAAAATTGTTACAATATATGAACAGTTTATAATTCATTAAGATTTTAAAATATTTTTTCTCTATATTTAAAGTCCTACAGTTACTTACAAATTTATAGCAACATGCCATAAACCCTTGCATCTAATTATTTTTTAATCACATCTTCCGACACAGATGATTTCAGTTTTATTTACAGTGAAAACAGAAATCATACCACAACTGACAGACTTGGATCAAACCAATGTTGATTTGCACAACTGTGATTTTGTAGATGTGTCATAAAAATACGTTTCTGCACTAAAACTTCTGCTCATCATATATTTGTCCTTTATTTTTAAGAACCATAAGTTGTAATTCTATATAAGGCAGAGAACTTTAAAAACAAATGGCTGCAGAACTCCTTTACAAACAACAAATATTTATAGTATATTGCAGAAATATGGATGCTATTATTTAGCAGTTTTAAGTAGAATATTTAGCATGCAAAATTATGTTTTAGAGTATAATAATTTTGAAAGATTAAGACATTTATATAAGAGGGGTTAGGTTTATGATTTTTTTTATTAAAATCAGAGTATGGTGCACATCAATTCTATTCAAACATGTAAAATAAAGAAATGGATTTTTAGGTCTTTCTGGGTGTTCCTATTTCATTTAGTATAGAACCTCATAGTACTTGAATCTTAGCCTGTAAATACCCAGCTGAAATAAACAAATTCCAAAGGGAAAAAAAAATCAATCCAACTTTAAGTAAGGTCATGTAGTTTGAGATCAGTGCTTTTTTTTGTTAGGTATAAAACAGAATGATTTCCTAACCTGATCTTCCCTGGCAATGTTGCCAATTTTCAAGTTATTTATAAGAAACTGCAGTAACAAATACTAGTGTTGCAACAAAAAGCTTATGACTGTACCATAAAAATATTTATATCCTTGCCATTTTTACACTTAAAATCTCTATTCAAATTCATTTGAGCATATCAGGGCAAAATAATTTTAAAATTTAAAAAAAAATTGAGGTTGAAATTTAAGCACTCCTCAGAAATTATCCAGAGCAACGTTGTGTTTGTCTCCTGCTGGGACTCCCCATTTACCCCGAGCATTTCACGTGTGTAAAACATGTGGAGGGCGACGTGGAAGCTGGAGGTGTGCTGGGAACGTAGCACCTTTTCTGTCTTCAGCTGGCAGGAGATGCTAACAGGGGAGTGGGTTTGTGCACGTCCAACTGAACTTCAATAACATTCACTCCTGCTTATAGGTAAGCAGCATGTCTAGAAATAGGGTGTATTTTCATATGGATACACGTGTACACAGTCATCACAATGCCAAATTCAATAGTTTGTAAAAAAAATTCAAAGGAAGAAAGGTTGCTGTATAAGCAGAACAACCTGCTTCCTTAAAAATAGGTAGTATCAGTGCATGTACTCTCTTAAGAGTACATTCAATACTTTATCACTCCACTTACATCCACCTGGTAATAAGTGCAACAAGTCTCTTGAAGCTAATTTTTTAAAATATTTGATTCTTTTTTCTGGTATTTAAAGTCTCCCAACTTCAGAACTGAGTTAGCTTACAAGAACATCATAAAATTCAAGGACAGTTTAGATAATCCTATATACATATAATTTTAAATATCTATCTGGAGAGAAAGAAAATTTTACCTTACAAATGCCCCATATTTTAAACACTTTAACTATGACAGAGTAATTTCAGAAAGTATTCTATAAGTTATCTTTCCTTCAGAATGTAAGGAAAAGCCAGTTTTGTAATAGTCTTCATAACTCTTAGTTTCACTTTGTTTTCTTAATTTGGTTCTGCTCACTTCCCTTTGCTTCTTGTTTTCCTGCATTCTTTGTATTTTAACATGTGTAGATAACAAGAAAATCCTATTTAGAGCTATTCTTTCTAATTATTTTCATTTCTACAAATTAGATACTTGGGAAAAATCATGTTCTCACAAGTAACATCCTTCTGGAAAGCGACAAAACCCAAAAGCTGTTTCAGTAAGGTACTGTTTCAGCAGCTTACCCTGCCCAAGATGGTAGATAAGGGGATCTTTTACAAGACAGTTTAGTCATTCCATGCCATGTCAACTGTTTGGAACAGAAAAATAGTGAGGCTAAAAAGCAAAGCTTTACGACTTTATCTGTTTTCTCCTGCTTAAGATCTGCTACTTCGTAGCATTTTTTGGTAGTACAGACTAAGTTTCACCCCAAAAACCAAGGAGTCAAAAATGTTTGCCTCAGCTACAGCAGCTCTGTGCTATGCAAAACAAGAATACATTCCAAATCTTATTTACCTCTGGCTATTTAGTATCTTATTTGTAGATGTAAGAAAACATGATCTTCCGCTTTGATTAGGCTTTGGTTTAATCACGTGTAAGTGAAGTCTTTATTGCTGATGCAGAATTTTGCAACTGAGCTTTTCCTTTTCTGTAGTGCTACAAGATTCAGAAGGCAGACCATGCACTCTTTCTAACAAAACAGTATAATAGGGATGGAGGAGACAAGCAATTTTGAGTCTATAGAAAGGTTACCATAAAATTTACATTTTCCATAAAATATAAGTAGCCACCATTTTGCTGTAATCCCAGAGCAACAACGAAATGGTGGTACAGAAGAAAACTACCCTATCAGACACATTTCATCATTGCTTCTATCCATCACTATCTTCTTTCTCTAGCATGATTATCATTTATTCTCCTTCTTACAAGCAACATCCTGCTTTTAAACTAAAAATTGATAACTATACCATAGTAAATAGATAAGGTGCAATTATCAAACTAAGACTACATACTGTACAAGTCCTCTCCCCCTCACCCCACTTCAAACTGCAAAAAAGTACTGCGTAGTGTTTCTATCACACACTGATGAACACATCCCTTGGAACTGCTACTGTATGAAAGCTGTATCCTAGAGGTAGAACACATGGTATGGAATATGGCTGCTGCATTGGTCAGTATGTATTTTAATTATTATATGATGAGATATACATAAGTAACACTCAGAAGACCAAAATGGCTTAAATGAATTGGTTTTGATTGTAATGTTCAATGTTGCATTTTGTGAAACATTTTATATTTAAGTGAATATATGTATATTGGCATACTCGGTTTAGAAATTTATATTAAGGCATCAATTTTGATAAGCTATGCCATCTTTACTTTTTTCTTTTTTTTTTTTTTTTGGTTTCTTTTTGGTTTTTTTTGTTTTGGTTATTGCATGCTTTTCAGGTGTGGAAAGGATTGCCTGCTTGTACATAAAGAAGGAAACAGTATTTGTATATTGGTACAGGTCTATTCTGTGATATTGTGCTGTACATACGAAAAGAATTCATAAAGTTTATCCTGTAATCTCCAAAGAAGCACTATGTGTTATAAGCTTTATTAACTAGGTCCTAAATTTATAAATTTGTTATAAACCAGAAAAGTATATTGTGTAATATGTTTTCTAAAAGTGTGCTTGGTGTTTA